CTCAACTAAAGTTCCCCATGAAAAGTAACACATTGCACATATTCAGTCAAATACTTTTTACAAGTTCTTCTTTTATTTTTTCACTTAGTCCTTCCTTCTTTCATTGTGCAGTGAGACGTGTGGATGGCATGAAAGAGACACCAATGTTGCCTTACCAGAAAGTTTCTTTTATTTTTTTAAATTTATTTGTTGTGCCTGAAATCATTGAAGTTTGCTGACCATTACTTTAAATACTGTTTTTGTTTTAAATTTATTGATTCAGTTGAAAAAAAAAACTTTTGTTCTGTCATAATTTTCAAAAATATAGTTTCTTAATTGAACTGTGATTAAATGTGAATACTGTTTATGCCTTGAATTTATTAATTATAATTTAATTGAAAAGAAAAATTGTTCTGTCAATTTAAGTTTCAACCTGTTTTGGGGACAAAGATAAAAAAAAAATTTTCTGTAGCCCTGCAGTTTAAAACAAAAATGTATTTAGAAACTTTAGTTGGAATCCATTGAATTTCCCAGGGATGCATCCAAATCACTACCTGTGGGTCTCTGCCACCCACTACATTAAAAACCTATCAGCATCATTGTACATACATAGTGCAGTATCTATCTATCTATCTATCTATCTATCTATCTACTTTTCTGTGTAAGAATTGCATCACACTACAAAAATAAAAAATATTAAAGTTTCACCCACTTTAAAAGATCAAAGGGGTAAAGGAGTAATGAAATTCAAAACAATATGCCTGTCAGAGTTTGTCTATATTTCTGAGATGAGGTATTATGTACAGTATTCACATTAGTTGGACTATTGTCCTCATCTTTGTCGCCATATTTGTCACAACGTTTCGGCCGTTGTACGCTCCAGCCTTCCTCAAGGACACATGGCACAGTGGATAAAGGCGTTGGTTAGATCCAGTGACAGACCCAAAGAAGGTGAGTTCAATCCCTGGTTAAGGCAGTGGAGAACTTTCAGAGGGAAAATTAGCAGGAGATAACTGATAACTGACATCCATCAAACATGGCACGTGGAATTAGAACAGTCTACCCCAGTGATCGAAATAAAGGGTTCAGTTCGAAATTCCAACCACCTGAAGAAGGCCGGAGCGTACAACGGCCGAAACGTTGTGACAAATATGGCGACAAAGATGAGGACAATAGTCCGACTAATGTGAATACTGTACAATATGCCTGTGTCTTTTTTCATCTTTATCCATTCTCCCTTTCCTTCCACCCACTTTTCTTTTCATTTTTCTCCAGCTTTCTTACCTACTTTCTACCATTCTTCCTTCACACTAATTTTTAGTCATGTACAAATAAGCTGATAGACAATTCATAGCTACACAAAGAGGTGCTGAAAAGTTCTGTGCCCAACCAAAAATAGAATAACTGAGAGCCAAAAACATAGATGCTATTCCAAAAAATAAGTCTGATGTTTACTGATTGAAATACAGTTCTATTATTTTCTCTTTTAATTTTTGAGATGAGGAATTATCATTATTTTCATGACTTACATTTAGATTAATATCCTCATCCTTGTTATTATCATCATATTTTGACCATTGTACTCCCCAACCATCATCAGGTGTTTGTTGATCCGGGTAACCTTTGGAGAATTTCACACTGAACCCTTTATTTAATCTCTGGAAGTAGATTGTTCTTGTTCCACTGTCTATGTCTAAGAATATCTTGTTTTGTTCTTATTTAGTACTGTTCAGTTATTGCTTGCCGTGTTTCTACTGAGTTCAAGTTCATACTACCCAGCCCAAGAATTGAATTCACAATTACTGTCATAAAATTCACAAACCAACACTAAGCTATTTTTTGGTGCTGCTATCATTTCTGAATCATTTGAAAATTTCCTCTTCTTCAAATTTCTTTTAAAGTTTGGAAACGGGTACATAGATCTAAATCTGGTAAGTAAAGTGGATGGGTTTGACACACAAACTTCAAACTCGTCAAAACACACATCATTTTCCAGCTTTGTTAGTAGGTACATTGCCCTGCAAACTGAGATGGTTTTTCCATAAGTTCACTTACCATTTTTCTTTTAATACTTCCTTTAATTTGCACAACAAATAAGAATGCATTAACTGGCCTTTCTGAAAATAGTCATCAAAATTACCCCCTTATCCCAAACAATCATGGTCATAACCATTCCTCTGATCAAGAGGTTTTGAGCAGCGTGAAACCACCTCTTAATTGCTGTTTTTCCCAGGTTCACCCAGATCTAGGGTGGTAGCACCTGTTAGGGTTCCAACTATGGGCAAATAGGTAAACCCCAAAAGAAACTGGGATCAAAACACTACTGTTATAACTCACTCCTAAAGGTTATAATATTATATCTTGCTTAGGCTACTCAGCATGACATCATCAATTCTTTCTCAAGTGACTCCAATAGACTTCCTCTGATTCACTTTGAGTTCTTTATCTAAGGCATCTTGCCTAGTTCATTTGTGTTACCAAGGATGTCTTATTTACTCCACAACATCACCCCCTTTTTTCAGATTTTTTTTCACTAGTAAATATTTTATTTTATTTCATAGTATTCACCCCCTCCTATTCCTGGTGTGTTCACCACATACTGAACTTTGTAATTCTTTTGTTTTGGGTCAACCTCTAGTTTTTCCATATGTTTCCTTTTTCTGGTGATCCTACTTGTATGTTCAACAAATTCTTGGGGTGTTGGTATGTCAAAAATATCATACAGTACTTTCATAGGTTCTCCCTTTCTTGTGGACCTTTCTTCAGTAAAACTTTTCTTTAACTGATTCCAATGATTTTTGTGTTCCCATTTTTCTCCTTTCACCATATTTATCATTTTTCCAATTCATGGCTTTATTATGCCATCTTCCCATATTTCTTTTCCATTTTTATATACTCTGAAACACTTTTTCACCAATTTTGAAAAATTTTATGTCCTTTTTGTTATCCATTCTTATTCTTTTTTGACCTGGTAACAACTTGTTGAACACCAATTTAATTTTTCTTGTGAACATCATGTAGTAACATGTTCAATTGAGAACATTTTACAAAATTCTTTAAATTTGTAAGCAGTGAATTGTGTACCATTATTTGAGACTATGGCATCCAGAATGTCATATCTTGCAAACAGTTCATGTAAAAATTAACTGTAACTGTGGAAGTTGTTTTTTTTTTTTTTGCACTTACAAATTTCAGGCCACTTAGTAATGCTGTCCACTACCACAAGATAATGTGATCTATTTATTGGATCTATGAAATCTATGTGCAGTCATGAGCACGGAATATCTGTCTTTGGCCAAGGTTGTAATTTCGTGGTAGGTGATTTTGCTGCCAGAACACAACCTCTGCAAGCTTTTTAATAATTTTTCAATGTCTTGATCCATTTTAATCCAGTATACATAGCTTCTCATAAGAGATTTCATTCTTGAAATTCCCAGATGTCCACTATGAAATTAATTTAATATCTGCTTTTATAATATGATAGGTATTACTACTCTTTATTCAAATATCAGTGCTCTGTCATATAGCAAGTAAGTGTTCAGGCCTTGATTGCATTCTAAAACTCATCTATTTTTCTTACTTTCTTTTCAAGTGAAAGGTCAATCACTACCTATCCTCATAATCTACACTTCCTCTTACATTTATATAACACATGTCTCATTCAGTGACCCTCTACCAGGAGTCTTGTATTGAGTAAAGTTTAGTATTAAAAAAGTCATGGGAACCCAAATGTTGCTACTGCTTGGATTGTCATGTGGTCTCCAGATCATAGTGATGTAACTGTTTTTTCAGTAACAGTGACTAGTCATTCCAAAGAATTATGACAAGATTTCTGTAAATGCTGCCAAATCAACTTTGAGATGGCCAGACAGTATCATTTCAAGACAACATTCAAATATTTTGGCTTTCTCTTGGTTGCCAGCTATTGCGTACCCAAGTGTTCCTGAACTATAACCCCAAAGTGTTCCCTGAATATCTTTAGTGTTTCAACAGTCCTTCTGGTCAAGATTTTTGAATCAGCCAAAAGTAGGTCATGATAAACAAAGGGCTTGGCACCATTGAAGATCTCCCAGACTGTATTGCATCTTTGCTCTCCAATTTTTAACACTGGAAATTTAGCACATCATTTTTTGCAGCTGAGAATGACAGATACTTATCAACCAATGTTTACATCATACACTCATGGATTTCCTTTGAGGTTTTTCTGCCAAAACAAGAAATTTATGACAACTCTTAGTTCAGCACTTTCCATTGACACGGTTCAGTCAATGATCATGTTGAAGGTTGAGTGGGAGGTGAAAATATAGCCTTGTAAAAAGATCCACCCTGTGTAGAATAGAAAAGGAAAGGAAAAGAAGAAAGCAAGTAAAGTGTAAATCCAAAATTGTTATATTCCAAAAATAAATGAGGTGACATACAAAAATTGTTTCTTCTTTTTTTTTATCTAGTTTCTTCTTATGAAGACAGCTTTTGTACAACAAGAAAGACTAGACACAGGAAGATTTCTTACTGACGTTGAGTCTTTCTGACTTGACTGTTACAGCTTCCTGATACTCTGACTATTATACAAACTCTCACTTGGATGGAATGACTACCTGATATGTTGTCCTTTTATTTATAACTAGTGTGCAGACATAGTAGTAGACAAAAATGTATGCAAATATTTAACAGTTACTTAAAGAGTATAAAATTTCTAATAACATAATAATTATACATGCTTAAAATCCTGTGAGAAAATAGCAAACAGGTGGTTCAGATCAAAAAAAAATTCAGTGTTGTTATTCCAAAGGACATAAATGAGTCTCACAAGTTCAAAGTAAAAGATTCTGGTGTCCTAGATCAAAAGGGGTAAAAAATCTATATCCAAAACTTCCAACATACATCTACCTTCATCTCCCACAAAGAACCAAGAAATCACCTCTCACCCAAAGTAGCATTCTTTTATTGAGGTAGGAAGTGTTCTTATTGATCAAGACTGGTAGAGAAGTGCAAATATTTTGTGGCCAACTAAAATCAACCCAATTATGATCACCGAAGTTAAGCAATATCGAGCCTGGTCAGTACCTAAATGGGTGACAGATTGGGAATACCAGGTGCTGTAAGCTTGGATGTGTGGCTAGTGTAATGGATAATGGCTCAGAATTGGAAATCAGAGAGTCAAATAGAAATTTGTTATATTTACTTAAGCACAAATACCCTTGGGAAAGGTATGAATTCACCTCTTCTACTCCCAGTTATGGGTTAATTAGTAGGATTTATATCAGTAAATCATGATTATCTCAAAAAAATTCTGACAATCTAAAACTATTTTCTGGCTTTATATAACCTGCAAAAGGTTGATGAGCTGTAAAAAACAAATCCCCCACCCAAAATGCTGTTTCTGATTTTCTCTTTTGACAGAGAAAACAAATTCTTTTTCAACATAAGAATTTGTTTTCTAATTCCTTGCTTACAATTTGTTTTCTCCTTTGTTGTTACAAAGTAGAAATTTTTCGGATTAATAATTTGATATACGTTTTAAAAAGCTGTGAAATTTTGATGATTTTTGGTAAATTATAAGTTGATTAATTTTTATTTTAATTCGGTATACACATTTCTTGGTGCCACTTTAGCATGTGCCCTACAGATCACCAAATTTGTATCTGACATTATCTAACATAAGTGGAAAAGCAAAAATGGAAGGAGGGATGCCATTTATTGTTGTATTATAAAATTTAAAATAAAAAAAAAATATTATAAAATAAAAAATTTGACTAAAAAATCATAAAACAATCCTTTGAATCCTTTAACATAACAAGAAAAAAGTCGGGACAAAGCCTTAATAATGTAGGATACAAATGGGGTGGTTGGATACATACTATAGGAGAAACTGATCAGTAGGACACACGCTAAAGCGGCAACCATTTCCTAATATTATATCTTATTAATAATTGTCATTAAAAATACGTTTATATTTTATCTGAAGCTGATTAACAATATATTCTAAATGTGTCTGCTATATTTTGTTCATTTGACCAGATCTTAACTCAGTGGTTCCCACTGAGCCGAACTGGCATGAGCAATTATAAAAAAGAATTCAAAACAATATTTGTCATTGCATTCTCTATAAAATATTCAAACTGGCAGGTCTTTTTACCAGTCTGCACCTAGGTACTAGATCAGTGGTTCCCAAACTGTGCAGCATGCGTCATATGTGCATCAGAAGAGGATAGCAGGTGAAATGAATGAAAAACAATCAAAGATTTAGAAACAGTTTCAAAGAATTCATTTGCCAAAATAAAATATGAATAAATAAAAAAAAAATGATTTCAAAATTTAAAATATTATTATGGATTATTTGTAATTGCATGCATGAGTCCCAATATAAATAGTTATAAATAATTATTGACAGATTTTATCACTGTGATATTTTTCATTATATCAGTTATTAAGAATATAGTAACTAGAGTCCGCAAATTGGAGGAGAGAGTTATCAATGATAATGTTCTGACTTTGAATCCGCTGTTATCTCCCTTTAACCTTTTTTCTGTTTTTTTTATTTTTAAATGTACTTTTTATCACATAAAAAATTCAGGTTCTGCACAATAATAATGTAACAGTTTGGTTTAGGTTGGTTTTCAAAATATTGAATGTGACCAGCCAATTTTCCCTCACTGAACTGTTAGAGCTCAGTCAGAGTAGTGTAGAGAGCTACTGCCAGAGTTTTGGAGGTACAACCATATACCACTGTATTGTCAGCATAGTTATCCACAAAATATCTGAGTATACTCTTTGGTAAATCATTTATGTAAAGTAAAAAGAGAGTTGGACCAAGAAGCAAGCTTTGAGGGATGCCAGCGTTGGTCGCTTGGCCCTTGAATGACTGTCAGGGACCTACCCATTAGAAAGGACTTGATAATTGAGAAGACTTTTTCAGTAATTCCATAGCTAGAGAGCATTTGCAGTAATCTTCTATATCACACTGTCAAAGGTCTTCAAAATATCTAACGCAATACTAACAACTGATCCACTGTAGTTATATATATATATATATATATATATATATATATATATATGAATATATATTAAAGCAAAATAACAATTTTGAAAATTATGTGATAGAATAACTTTCTTAATTTCTGTGAGTTTTTGGTAACTAAGTTTGAAATTCTCAAGTTTTTCAATCTTTCTGAAGTTAAACACTATTTAAGAAAGTTCTAAAAATGGTTTGTTTTTTGTTAAAGATCAAATTAAATTTCATCATTAAAATTCAATGTAAAAATTATGAAAAAGAAAAGATGTTAACAAAATACATAATAGTGCTTCTTATAAATTATGATATAAAATACATATATAGACATTATAATTTTCTAAGGATGGGAAACCTGGTGTGGGTTTCAAACAAAGTAGAAATTATATCAATTTGCTGTCAAAATTTTGAAAGTTATTCATATACTATCATGTTATTTATTATGCTGTTCTTATATTGTTACATCATTTATTACAGAATGTATGTGTGTGTGTGTGCACATATAAAAGTTCTCAGCCTGACAAAGAAGTCCTTCCCTAAAAAATTGGATGTTTGGTTATTTGATCAAATTTTGAAAAGGGGCTAAGGCCAAGAACTTTTCAGCAACTCCTCATAGATTAATACTAGCATGCATCCACACATACACACACACACGCACACATATATATGGAGAGAGAGAGAAACAAATATGCTTACATGCACGCATACAAATATGCTTATATATGTATTGAGGTGTATATATATATATATTTATGTATACATGTGTGTATGTATATATATATATATATATATATATATATATATATCAATGTTTATGTGTGTATAGACATGTATAACTATGCATGTTTGTGTATATATATATATTTATATATAATAAATATTATACAACTAATTTTTAAATCAAAAAACATATTTAATGAATATATAAAAATATTATGAACACACACAAACATACAGGCATATATATGTGTGTGTGTGTGTGTGTGTGTGTGTATGTAAACATCTTTAAAGTAAATATATGCACACATTAAGAGTTTTTTTATCTTATTCCATCATTATAATTATTGTTCTATTATGTTCATTAAGTTTATATTACTTTAAAATACAAATGTGTACTTTTATACATTCATATTTATGTATTTTCATAAGTTTTATTTTAATAAACTTTTTTTAAATGCACTTATATGAATAGCCATGCATTCTACTATAGTTTATTTAATTTTAAATTATTATTATATATTCTACAATATATTTATGCATATACATATATATCATATACGTATATATATATATATATACTGTATTGCCTTATATTATATTATATGTATGTGTGTGTGTGTGTGTGTGTGTGTGGAGTTGGTGAATTGCTTTTTAGTAGTAGTAGTGAGTATCAGAGACTCATTATATATGTTAATGAGCAGTGGACGTCAGCAGGCTACTGCGCATGCTCACTGTCTACGGGGCTGCTATTTGGGAAAGCAAGGGCACCGCACCCTGGCAAAGCGGCACGCGAGCAAAAAAATATATACATACATATATACACATTACTTACCTACCTACATATGATTTCTACTATTATTCATGCTCCATGAACAGGAAATAGGAACGTACAGCTAGCGCTTTGTTTGTTTAAAAACTTTGGATTTCTTTATATTCTATTGTTTAATTAGGGGGTAAGTACAAAACCAAGATGCTGTGCCTCTTTCCATTTTCTCTATGAATTCTTTTTCCTTACATAAGGATTTTAACTGGCCGGTTGAGGTGGGCACAAAATGGGGGATCGATGTAAAATGCATGATTGGTTTAAAACTGATCCCCCACCCCTGTTGATTTTTGTAAAATCCCCTGTGTATAATGTCTACCTTGGTAAACTTTAACATTTCTTAGTTGTTTAAGCCCATCATTAGCTTTGAAATGAGTTTTCATGTCGACCGTGTTTATGATCTGATCTCCTACTTTGTGACATGTCTGTTTTCTATGATGGCGGATGTGCTACAAGAAAAGAGAAAGGCGAATTGGGGGGGGGAAAAAAAAGCTTTTACTTCGATTTTTTTTCCATCACTATTTGTCTCTCTTGTCTACCCGATCTCTTTTTTTTTCATACGTTGTCTTGTTTCTTTTTCATAATTAAGTTTTTAGATGCATGACTTTCTTTTCCATTCGAAAAAAATGCAATCATAGTTCTCTCTAACGAGAAGATATTACCAAAATGTATAGCTTTGATCTTTAAAGCTTGTTTCAAATATGTTATTGCTTTAACAAAAAATATTAATGTAATTATTTTGTTTGCCTGTTTACTTTTTTTTTAAACGTTGTTTTGGAATATAAAAATGTATTTTTATATGCAAGTGATGGGAAGATCACAGAAGGGGAATGACATTTAAAATGTCGGTTTGGATGCCATGTTCTCGTTTAGAAAAAAAACCTTCAGATCCGTTTCTGAACTGTTTCCATATTAAGGAATCTGACAATTATTGGCCTTTCTGCTTTCATTAACCTGTGGATTGCATCCTCATGCTTTAACATTCTCCCCACCAGATCGTTCGATTATGTTGCTTTCATACTCTTTCAGATTTTCCAACCTATTGCTTTATAGTTTAAAATAAAAGTAAAACCGATTGCTTTCCTTCGAGAAATGGTTGCATATTTCTTTGCAACTTGCAAGACGTGTTTCTCTGCGAACAGAAAAAAAATAGAAATAAAAAACATTTTATTTTACTAAGATCGTTTCTTTCTATAGATCTAACCAAACAATGTTCCTATTTTGTTAAATTCTGTGACAAATCTAAGATGGGGGGGAAAGATTCTCACTTCTAAAATCAGCAAATGATTAATTATTTTTTCTAATCTTATCTTCTAACATATGAACTTTTTCACCGCCTAATTTTTATGCACATAGTTTAAATATTTTTGCTTATCATCGTATGTCTTGTTTTACTACTCTACTAGTTGTAGTGATCGTCATAATAATAATACGATGGCTGCTAATTTAATGGTGGCAGTTGTTCCTGGTAAAATTCCTTCGAATTCTTATCTGTTAATTGCCTAACATAAATCGATTCGATTTCTTTGATAAATCTGTTAGTGAGATGGTGAAAAGATGTTGAATGAAGTGGAATTTTTTAGATGATAGTAAGATCTGAAGAAGCTGTTAAAGTGGGGAGAAAGAAGAGGTTAAAAAAAAAAAATACTTTCAGTTGGAATGAGTTACTGTGCTCTACTGGTGCTGCAACAAATATGGCGATCTGCTAGAATATATAATCATGCCGAATTGCATACTCAGGCTGCTAGAGTTTTTAATTTTCTTTTTTCTTCGTATCATTTTTTTTCATATTATTCGATTTTAATAAAATTACTTGTTCGTGTTTACATCTGTCGATCTGTTGCTTTTCATACATACATATATTACATACATTGTATGTGAGAAAGATGAAGTATGACAAATAGTCTTTATGTGTATTTTTATTTTATCCACAGCCAGACACGCAAGATCTTTAAAAAGCAAAATATTTAGTTTTACTCTTACTTAATTAAAACGCCGATCTAAAAAAAAATTAACTGTAATTATATATATATTTTTTTCTTTTGTCTGTTAAGTCATCTCCGCTTTAAGCTTGTTTTGATTTGTATAAAAATAAATAATAAATAAAATAAAGATTCTTTACGAATCTGCTCCAACTACAAGGATTTCTCTCTGGCTACTGTAAAATATTCCATGTCATGACACACCCATTCGAAGCGATGCGCTCTTTCTCCTTGTTCTCTTCGTCCAATTTCGTATTTATATAAATTTTATTGCTTTTAGTATTTTTTATCATCGTTTCTAATTTAATTCTATACCCGTTTTTGTAACAATATAATCATAAATCTTGTCTAGGCTGACTTCTTTACACTCCAGACACTAACTACTACCACTACTACATTTTCGTTGTCGTTTTTTAAGTAGAATTTTTGTTTGACAGTATTTCTAGTTGCAGAGAAAAAAAATGTTGCCTTCTGAGTCTTTTTTTTATTTTTTCATTCTTTGATGTCCGATTCCTTTTTCAATGTATAAATCACTACAGCTTATAAATTCTGCCCCCACTTTTTCTTAATTCCAGCATAATTTTTTTTTCTTAGCTTATTAACCCAATCCAACGACTTATTCAATCTTTTTTTTTTCTTTCGATTACTTTTAGTTTATTTCTTAATATCTAAACTTTGTTTTTTTTTTTTTTTTTTTTTTTTTTTTTTTTTTTGGGGGTTGTTTTTGGGGGTTTTTTTTTTATCAAGTTTGTCTTTGTAACATCCAAATCCGATTTTCTTAAAGATCCAATCTTTATTCACATAAATTAACTTTTTATTCTATTAATCGTACGATTATAATAGAATAAAAAGTTCTTAACCATTCCAGATGGCTGTCTCAGACTCTTCATTTTCGACACGAATGTTTTATTATTTTTATACCGTTCTCTTGTTTTAAGTAGGATATTATCCCGATAAGCGATATCGAAAATAAATTAGGTTACTCTGTCTAATAAGGTTAATATCGGCTTAAACGAAAGGGAGTGGCTGTTACCATTTAGTGATCTGGATAGTGGATCGGATTTAACTTGCTTCCTCCCAATTGTGTGGTAATATGTATGCATCAGTTATGGGCTAAACTTAGAACCTACTACTATACTACTTCACTGCCTGCCCATTTGTCTCTCTGACTGACTGACGATTTTTTTTCTCTTCTTATCCCTTCTCCACCCGTTGCACATTACAGGTTTTCGTTCATCAACTGCTAACACCAACATTTCTACCTGTGTGTGTGTGTTTTTTCCACATCGTTTCGACCAGGTAACAGTAGCCAATACTTGGCAATTAACTGTCGAAATGCTTTTGCTATTCGAGACAGTGCTTTAATATATATTCTCTATAATCAATCTTGCATTTAAAATGCATAGTGAACAGGACGTTGCTTTTTTTGTTGCTGTTCATTTTCAATTCTCTTAAACAAATTTCACTTCCATTTCAGTAAATAAAAAAAACAGCAATCATGACGAGTGAACTAGAAGCATTACGGCAGGAGACCGAACAGTTGAAAAATCAAATTAGGGTAAGTGTGCTTTTATTTAATTTTAACTTCATTCTTACAGCAACCTTTTCAACAAAACTACTTCGGAAAGTAATCATCAAACCACTGAAGAAAATACTGGAAAGTCTTCAATCTTTATCAACCAAAATATTTTTAAAGGTTTTCAGAAAAAGAAGGAAAATGAGGCTATATAAATTGACAGCCAGTTTCATGCCTTTTTTTTCCAACCATCTCCCTACCTTATCTTTTTCTGATTCTCATTTTTATCCATCCATCTCGCAATTGATTAGAAAATATCTCTGATTTTTCAATTTGGATTGTTACCGAATCAACAGAATCCGAAATCGGACAACACTTCGTCGTCTTACAAATTGGATTGTTTATTTCGTTTGTCACTCATCGTCTGTGATATCGTTCTGGCCACCAATTAACACCTTCACTTGGCTAATTTCCTTTCTTAATTATGATTATCATATAGCAATTGCCTTTCGTTTGTTTTTGCAGCATCAAAATGTTTTGTTTGTTTTTTTCTTCTCTCATCATTCTTATTATGCAATTACTGCTAAGATTGTCACCTCATGAAACTGTAATGCTGCTGCTACATTTTGTTATATCAGTGACGAAATATTGAACACAAAGAAATTGAGCAAGTTCAAATAAAAAATTAAATCTATCAATTTCATCTAAATATCTTTAAGTCGTTATATTTTAACTTAAAAACAAATTAGTTTGTCATTTTATTTTCTTGTAACTGTTTCTTTTATATTCTTTTATCTTTATGCCTTTTCATATTCTTTTTTTTCTCTCTCTCTCTCTCTCTAATTTAATTTCACCCGAGATAAATTTTTTTAATCACTATTGCTAATAATTCAACTTTCAAAATTTCACCATTATAATCAACTAATTTGGAATAAGATTATGCCATGTGTGTGATATATATAAGTTAATAAGTCCTTCTTTATGCTCATTGAATTTTTATTTTACAAAAAATACAATCTTAAAGGATAAAATTAAAAACGTTTCTCACTTTTGCTTTGATATGGATAATGTACTGATGGTCTAATCTTTGGGGGGGGGTACTACAAATTATCCTCAGATCTGTTAATTTCAACTAAAATTAGTGAAAAAGAAAATTAACATTGTCATTTAAATTCTGTAATTCAATTTGGTATGACTGCGAAATCATTTACTTTTGATATTTAAATCTTGTATGTATTATATTAATCATGTTTTAGAACCAGTTATATCATTTGTCAAAAAATGATTCTTAGTTTTAACAAGTTTTCTTTCCAAAAAATATATCCTGGAAAATGTTTCTTGTTTTTAGGAAGCGCGGAAAGCCGCTGCTGACACCACATTAGCAATGGCAACAGCAAATGTGGAACCTGTTGGAAGGATACAAATGAGAACAAGACGTACACTCAGAGGCCATTTGGCCAAGATATATGCCATGCACTGGGCATCAGACTCTCGGTAAGTTATTGCAATGTTTAAACTAGCATATACATGCATATTATTCACTCGTGATTTTTAAGGATTTAAATAGGTGAGGGTGATCGTAATAAAAATCAAGTGGCAAAACCTCGATGAGAATGGTCTGAATAACAATTTGGATTAATAATGTCCTTTTAATACCTCTTACAACTGGAGAGTGTTGACTTACACATTTGTAACCTCCAAATGTCACAAAAGATTTAAATTTTCTTATTAATTATGCCACTCTCATATGGTCTCTTATAATATCCTTTTGGATTCTTTTTTTTTTTTTTTTTTTTTTTCTTCTGATGAGTGCAGAAACTCGACTCATAATTTGACGCTTGTGTAGTTTTTTTTTTAATTTCAACTCTTTTCGTTGTCCATTTTAAAACTGACTTCAAATGATCACCATTATATCGTTTTCCCTCTTAATAAATATGAGCTAATGTTAGTTATACATTAAGAAAACTTAATTTTAAATTATTAATTGCCTTCTTGTATTGATGACTTCTTTATGTAAATTTAGGACTAACAAATTGATAACTTTAAACTTGGTTATTTAATTCTTAATTTCCTTTATGTAGACTTTATGAATAAAACTTAGTTTCAAGTAATTCTTTATATTTAAGTTAAAAATGTCAGTTTAAAAATTCTGTATATTTACCAAAAGATTAACCTGCATACGTTTTCTCTTGCTTAACTCAAGTTGCCAAACTTTATCCATATGGCATGATAGTAATGAGTCATGCTCATTAAAGCTTGCTCTCTACTGCTTAACATTTATTTCAAAGAAATAAATTGAAATCTATTTCTGCTACATGAATGTCTTAATATATTTCTTTCACTCTTCTAAAAATGACTTGTATAAAACTCTTGATCTTCTCTATGCATATGTGCATGACCTGTAATCTTAAGCAAAGTGTTTGACATGTATAAGGCAGTCAACTGGAAATTTATACCTTAAACATGGTTTCTATATTGGGAGTAAAGTTGGCTGATTTCATTTGGATTTTGGAAACAATCCTGGCAAATTCTTATATACAATTCATTTTTTTATTATTAAATAAAATGTTTGTCTATTGCCCCTTTTTTTTCTATTCATTAAATGTATAAGTCTGGGTTACATTTACTTTGTCTATTGCTGGCTTCTTTGCTTTTAAAGCAACTAGTTTTTTTTTGTTTTTTTTTATTATTTAGGTTAGTGTAAATTATCACATGAAATTCAATTGTATTTTAAATGAGATTGATTTCAGCACATGATGAAACAGTAATTGTGATCATTACAAAGATTTAACCAAAATCTTTCTAGCTGTTTTATATATATATATATATATATATATATATATATACACACTTTTAAAAAAAAAATTAATTTACATTGAAAAAACATCCTTTCCACACTTATCGTAAGTTCTAAATCATATATATATATATTTTTTTTTTTTTTTTTTTTTTTTTTTTTATTGCCTTAAATAGATATTTTGCCATGTGAATTGAAGATAGGTAGCATTGTTTTATTTGACAGAAGGAACCTTCTTTTCTTTTTCTTTTTTTTTTTTTTTTTTTTTTTTAATAAAGTTTTCTTTTTTACCTTATCCTCATTGTTGGGAATTAAGATTTCCTCATCCTAACAACTAGGATTGTTTGTAATTTCCCCCCACCCATCCCATGGGTAGGAATAGACTTGTAGTTATCAAATGAATTTTATTAATTCCAATTTTCCTTTTATTTTTATCTTTTCACTCTCCACTTGCTTGAGAACAGAAGGTAATATTACTCCCAACAATTTGTCAGTTTACTTACATTTTTGCTTGAATTTAGCTTGTCTTCTTTTTTTCTTTTAGACAATACAAAAGGCAAAATGTCTCCACAGACGGTGGAACTATGGCAACTGTTTGGCTTTGATTCTCTACTGCACGTGATTCCAATCACTCATATTATTCAGTAATGAGAACATCAAACATTTGATAAAGAACATTTCCATAAAATATTGGAAATGTCTAAAGCCTTTTGATTGTAGTTTTATATTTTGTATGTCTTCTGTATCTGGGTTTTGTTATTTTGCACTTGTGATAAAGCCTGTCTGTGTGGTCTTTTTGTTCTGTTTTGTTTTACTTTGTATTTTTCTTTCAGATTTTTCAATAATCTTTCCATTTTCTCTCTAACCAATGTCTGCTAGAACTGTATTGTCTCTGTATTCCTGATTTGCATGTTCTGTTTGCTGTACACTGTATGCTATTTCTACATCTATTGCACTGGACTATTTATACTCTAGCACTTCGAAAAGGCTGCTCTTAACCAATGGGTTTTCCTTTCTCTCCAAGAGCTCCTTGAAGGAAAAAAAATGGTGCCCTATTGAAGCAAAGTTAATCTTTCAATGTTCTTTATAAAAGAAAAAAAGTTGAGTCAGCTTCTGTTTAAAGCAATACAAATGCTTTTTGTATAAAGTCTCTTCTCTTCCCTTTCTCCTTATCAAGAACATGCAAACTTTATTAATTGGCACATGACTAAGAATTCAAATTTATTTCCCTCTGATCCTTGCTCCTCACATTGTCAATTTCATTAATTCAAATAACTCTACTATAACTTCTACTGAAAATCTTTAAATTCACAATGACCAAAGACCCCATCCACTTATTTCCTTTCAATTTAAATTCCTTTAAAATTGATTTATTCACGTTGAATTTAACAATTCTTTACTTAACATTCTTTCTTAATAATTTCATTGTTCGCTTTCTTCTTTGGGTCACCTCCTTGCATGGCCAGATTTTTTTTTTTGGTACATTAGATTAGTTTGCCCAAGGAGAATTGGAGCCATTGCCTTCATGTTGTTGTTTGACCAGTAGACATTAGTTTCTATTGTCTGGATCCCATTCAATTAACATGTCTTTTAGCACTGAACAGAGTCTGGGGGAAGATTTAGCTTTTTTCTTTTCTCTCTATAAATTAAGCCTTGTTAAATAAGCCCTTTTACAAAGGAGCTTTTGTTTTCTGAAATAACTTCACATTTTTATATCAATAAGCAGGAATAATAAGACAAATTTTCAAGAGTTTTTAAGACTCTTAATACAAAATTAAATTACTATTTAATGTCATATATTTCTTTCAAATTTTATAAAATAATCAAATGAATTATATACCCAACTCACTCCTGCTTTAAGAATTTTGCAGTCCAACAAAATTCACTCTAAAACATTCTGACACACACCCCCCTCCATTTTTTTTTTTTCTTTCCCCCAAATGCCCTCACATGCTTTCCAATCCCTGACTACATCACTTTCTCCAACCTCTCTGCATTGATACATGTTCTAGGTCTCTTATCAGAGTAACAGGCATGAATTGGTTATTTTTTCATCTTTTTTTCTCTCTCTCACTCTCTCTTAATTTTGCCAGTCATAATTATTAATAGCAGTGAAAAAAGGTAAGTATAGTTCAGCAATTCATCTCCAGTTGTATTGATTCTTTTCTCCTAGATTTCTTAGAATTTCTTCCCTATAATTTAGCATTTTTGATTTGAATATGATTCTGAGACTTTATTTTGAGCACTGTCAAGAGTAAGTTTCAAGAAATTTTTTTTTTTTTTTTTTTTTTTTTAAATCTGTTTCAGTAAGTTATTTTAATTATCTTAAACTTTTCTTTAAATCTCAGATTAACTCTCTTTACTTGACACCTGAAGTTTTGGATTAGTTTTGAATGTGTTTGTGTAGGGGAGGGCACTTTTTTTAAGTAAAAAGTGCTAGTAGGTGAGATTTAGGGGAAACTCTTGCTTTTTCATGTCTGAAAAAGCAATAAATTTTACATTAGATATTTAAAATAGTTATTTTGTGCTCTCTTAACTTACTCATTTTCAGTTTTAGATGTTAATTACTTGTGGGTCAAAATCTAGCCTTCACTTTAGTTTACCTGACTTTTTCTCTACTCCTTTTGTAAAATAAAAACATCTTACATGATTTCTGTTGGTTTATTATTTACAAGTCCAATTACTAACCCTATATTTCGAGTATTTAATATTTCTCCCACTAGTTCTGTATGTAATTGACATTAAGATCTATTATGAATGAGCTAGAAATAATTCATTATTAAATACTTGATTTTTTTCATTGAATATCAATTTGAACTCTGAGTTTGTTTTTGTTCAATTATTCTTTTGTAGACATGCCTTGTTTTTAAATATAATATGAATTTTCTTTCAGAAACTTAGTATCAGCTTCTCAAGATGGAAAATTAATTGTATGGGATGGTTATACAACAAACAAGGTGAGACTTCAGTGTAACTTATTTGTTCTGTTTAAAATGTGATTCAAATAATCTGCTGCTTTAAGCATAGCATGATTGGTTTCTGCATATTTTCTCTTATATACAATCAACTTTGCTTTAAGAGGCTCTTCAAATAGGCTATTTCTAATGTTTATTGTGGATCTGATATGTTGTGTAAATTGATACTCTTTATTGAGTAACTTGTAATACATTTAAAATTCTAAATATCTCAATATAAATTTCATATTACGAAAATCCTGTAATGATTAGTTTCTTATAAGTGTATATGGTGCTTATCTCCTGTGGTGTTGTTGTGTTCTACTTCTCTATGAAATCTTTTTCAGGTTCATGCAATACCCCTTCGTTCCAGTTGGGTGATGACATGTGCCTATGCTCCATCAGGAAATTATGTAGCATGTGGTGGTTTGGATAACATTTGCTCCATTTACAGTTTAAAGACTAGAGAAGGAAATGTGAGAGTTAGCCGTGAATTGCCTGGACACACAGGATATTTGTCATGTTGTCGATTCATAGATGATAACCAAATAGTTACAAGTTCTGGAGATATGACATGGTAAGTTTGTAATGGTTAGAAACTTTATAAAGTGGTGGGGGAACCTTAATTTCAAGCATGTTTACCTGTTTTTTTTTTTTTTTTTTTTTTTTCTTCTATGTTAAGCTTATTCTGGTTTAGAAAATATTTATTGAAGATTTCAAATCATTTAATTCTGTATTTTATTGCATATGAAATCATTTTTCTTTTTTCTTTTTTTTGGTTTCATGAATTTAGATTTGGGGCATTTTTGAGGTCAAAATTTTTAAAGTTGAAGTGCTTGCTATATGTTATATATATTTTTCTTTCTTTCCTCCCCCAGTGCATTGTGGAATATAGAAACAGGGAATCAAATAACTTCTTTTGGGGGTCATACAGGTGATGTAATGAGCCTCTCTTTGGCTCCAGATATGAGGACATTTGTATCTGGTGCTTGTGATGCTTCAGCAAAGGTAAGCGGTTATTTGCAACTCTTTTTGTTTTTCTTAAGTCTTATTTTCATTGTTAAAGAAATTCAACCAGGTGTGTAACTTTTAGTTTTGTAACTTAATGTAAACATTTTTGCTAAACTGAAAGAAAAATAGAATGCTGACAATTTAACATGCAGTTATACTGCAACAAAGTTCAGTCTTAAAATTCAAATATTATTCTGTAAATTAATTTGACTTGTCTCTTTCTTGCTTGCTGAATATTGTTTGTAAAATTTTCATGCTTTGTGTTTTTAACAAGATCTTTTTGCAAATTAATTAGATTATAATGCTATGGATATTAGAGCCTCTCTACATGCACATTCAAATAATTTTTTTGCTAAATGCTTATTACTTCTTGAATTTATTTTTTAAGAATTAATATCCAGTGATGTTTTTGTTTTCTCTCTCGTAAAATGTTTTTATATATATATATATATATATATATATATATATATATATATATATATATATAAATACTAGCTTTGTATTAAAAGAAAATGCAAGATATTAATTTTAAATGACTTTACTTTAACATACACCTTCCTAATTTAGGGAGTTTCCCACCCAAATGGTTTTTGAAAATGGGTCAAATTCAAATCCGAGATATATAATTAGCTTTGATAGTGATAAAATTCTAACATAGCTGATTGTTAGGCAATGTAGATCTTTTGTTTTTGACCAGAACTTTCTAATTTGGTTTTTACAAAGCTATCAGATGTTAGCAAGTATCATATAAATAATGTGAATTATTATTTGTTTTCATAAAATGGTCAATACATACTCTAGTTTTATTCTGGTATATATTGTTCTAATAATTTGAATGTCTCTCACACACACACACACATATATATATATATATATATATATATATATATATATGTATATCATGTGATCTTCATCAGTTGAAATAATTCAAGTTTTGGGTATTGTTAATTCAAACATTCACCAGAAATACAAAGAATGTCAGCCAGAATGTTTTGAAATGGCCCAGGTATATTCAAGTCTGAATAATTCATGAAATATTAAAGCTGTGAATGGTTTTCCCTGTATATAACCCAATCTGATGCTAATAAGAATTGGTTAAGCAAATAGTTGAAAGCCACAGGCTTCTTTATATATTCAATTTCTATTCAGGCAAGTCTGTCAGACTGTACAGTTGAAGACATAATGGTTACATATTTATATTTATTTATGCATGTTATCTATAGCAAAAATTGATATTTATCCCAATTTTTTTTTTTTTTTTTTTATAAGCTTGTTACAGTAACTTAGCTTAAAATTAGTAAAACTGATGTGATTAACTTCTCTATATTTATTGTCAGTGACTTGAAATTTTTTTTTTTTTTTTTTTTTTTTTAACTTCTCCTCCTCTTGCCATTTTTTTCTAAATCTTGATAAAATAACATCTTTATAATATATCAATGCTGTCAACTTTGCTGTACTGTCCAATATAATTGTGTGTATTTCTATGATTTTTCTATTGGATTCAGTGTGTGAACATCTTTTATTTTCTAATTCCATCACACTGCAAATATTTTTTCATTAGAATATTAAAATGATCATAATTTTTCCTCATTAACTAAGCTGACATTCTGTATACCATATAAATTATTTTTCTCCTGCCTGTTATGATTTAAAAGACACATTTAACACTGACTTGGTGTTAAATGTCTCTTTTTAAATCTTTCAGTGATGATTTTTAATTTTTCTCATTAGAGACAAAAAAAAAAAAATGAAACCTTTTTATTTTTATTTTATTTTTAAATAGCTTTTTGATATCCGTGACGGAATCTGTAAGCAGACCTTCACAGGGCATGAATCTGATATTAATGCCATAACAGTAAGTTGTTTTAATTATATTTCGAACATTCATGCCTCTTTTAAAAATTGTTATTTTTAGTGGTATTTCTGTTTAGTCTTTAAGACTGACTTTACCATGACTGTTCTTTGTTTTCATCTTTTTTTAATAATTTTTCTTTTTTTTTTCTCTCTCCCCTCCAGTATTTTCCTAATGGCTTTGCCTTTGCAACTGGCTCAGATGATGCAACCTGCAGATTGTTTGATATCCGTGCAGACCAAGAAATCGGAATGTACTCACATGATAATATTATATGTGGTATCACTTCAGTTGCCTTTTCTAAGAGTGGTCGTCTTTTACTTGGTGGCTATGATGATTTCAACTGTAATGTATGGGATGTCCTGAAACAAGAACGAGCTGGTGAGTTTGTTTTTTCCCTCACGTGACCTGGAAAGATCCTTGTGTGTATGCATAAAGCAGCTAATTTTAAAGATATTAACTGCTACATGTTTTAAAGACCTTTTGATAGTTCATGTAAGGTGGGGTAATAGTGTTTGGCTGGTTAACAAAAATGTTTCAAGACCCTCTTAAATAAGGAATTGTTGGAAATTGTTAGTCCAGCCCACTTCCCAAAATTTGACTAAATTTCAAATTCCAAATCAAGATTCAACTGATAATTATACCTTATAGATACATTCTTTCATAGTCTTCATGAAGGAAAAAAAAAAAAGAAACCAGTCAATCTAACAGAAATGGCTATATCGTTTTTTGTGTTTGGTCACTTTTGAAGCCTAAAACATTGTGTAAGGATATAAATAAATAAAAAAAAAAAAAAAAAATCCAAGTTAAAGAGTAACTTTTGCTGGTAACGGATTCTTTCATATGAAATTAATGCAAAAAAATTTACCTTTTTATAAAGAGAAACATGTATTTAGTCAGTAATTTTATTGGGGTGCAGAGAGATAGTTCCTTTTCATTTGCCGTTTGTTTGTTTTCAGGTGTTTTGGCCGGCCATGACAACAGGGTTAGCTGCTTGGGTGTTACAGAAGATGGCATGGCAGTAGCAACAGGCTCATGGGACAGTTTTCTTAAGATCTGGAATTAATGTATTTGATGTTTGAAGTCTCATCGTAATCTGCTTCTGCACTGTCTGTTTCTAAGAGAGTCCACGACCTGCAACAAGTTCCTCCATATTAAACATGTGACATGTCTTGCGCTACTTTGAGCGTTGCCATGTTCAATGTAGGTCAGTTGGCACCTAACTTTTCTAACAAATGCTTAATGGAACTCATTCAAACTTTTCAAAAAAAAAAAATAAATAAATAAATAAAACAGGGAGAGTTCTCTCTCTCCTGATCATCTCGATTTATATTTGCATCAGACGTCTTGCTACGTTATTCTGCATGATTCATAGACATTGCTTCTTCCCATTTGCAAAACTGTCTAGTATGCCTTCTTAAAGCAAGTATGAACTTTATGCTATTGACAATTCATACATTTCTATGTATTAAGGAAAAAATCAATTGGAAAAAAAAGGCAAAAAATAGTCTATCTACTCGTTAATTTGGGTAGGTAAGGTTCCTTCTTTTTTTTTTCTTTTTTTTTCTTTCTTGGTTGTATTGGCCCAAATTGCTGGCTGGTGCTACCACATCTATCTTCACCTTACCTGACCCAATCTGACCTGATATTTCTGCAGGATCCTTAAGTGTACTATCCGATCAGACATGAACTTGTATGCAAGAAGAATAACCCTCCCTGTGTTAGCATGCTAGAAATTTCTTTTGGTTCACCATGTTCCTGTAACATTTTTCTTAGTATATATTTTTTATTTTCTTTGTCTTGGGACCATGGTCGGGAGAAAGAAAATTAAAATTTTTTTCCATACCAAAAATAATAAATAAAAGGCTGTCTTCTAAGCCTGTTTGTGTCCACTGTACATGTCCAGTAACAAACAGGATATTTTATTAAATGTTCCAAATTGAAGCTGGCTTCTGGCACTTGTGTTAACATTTTTTAAAAATTGATTTAAAAAAAAAAAAAAAAAATCTTGGCAGAAAGTGTTAATTACTATATATATGGAGAAAAAAAAAAAAAAAAACTTATCCCCATTTCTCAAAATTGCCACATGTGGCTATTTATATATGTACATATGTGTAAATGTGTGTATCTGTGTGCATGTATGCTAGTTTGCATGTGAGTGAATGAGTATGTATGTGTGTGTGTGTAAAGATTATATATATATATATATATATGATCTACACACAATCAGATTACATTTTTCCTTACCCAACCCATCCCCCTTTTAAAAGGAAAATAAAATGGTAAAAAGGCACCTAATTTAGTTATTTTAGTATTGCTTGTGAATTCTGCCAGTTGTTTTACAATCCTGACTTTCCCTTTGACTCCCTTTCCCACTTTTGTATCTTCATTATAATCTGAATATCCTCCACTACAAAAAAAAAAAAAAAATTTAGCCACATCTTTTTATTTTTCTTTTACTTCCTCCCTTTTCTTGGAGGCTTTCCTCATCTGGCCTATATAAATGGTTTATTTATTTCTGATGGCTACATGTGATTTAATGATATTAAATATATTTCATAACCCTCTCCTACTTATTTTTACTAGTTGCCAACTTTAGAATGATTAGCACTCTGCTGTTTGGAGGATCTACTAATTCAGTAATATGTACATCTCAGCCAGTTGCCGAGCTCCTCTTTCTGCTACCACCTTTCACAACCATCCTTTCCCTCTCCTTTTCCTCCTCCTCCTCCTTGCTTCATGTATCCTCTTTCCATGTACACATTTCAATTTTTTTTTCTTTCTTCCTCATCTCAATTCTATTGGCTTCTTCAGTTAGTCTCTGCACTGCTGCTTTTAAACAAGCAACAAGAGACGGTCATTAAAATAGTGTGTGTGCATACACACACCTGTGTGTGTGTATGTGTGTGTGTACATAAAAAAAAAAAAAAAAAAAAAAAAAATTTAAACAAAAAAATATGTGCGTGCATGTTCATGTGTGAGCAGTAAACACTTTGGACATAGCAACTGGCTAAGTTTCATGGCTGCCTTTTGTTTTTGTTTCTTTTCTTTAATTTTAATTTTGTGATTTATCCCTCCCATTAAAGATCTTGGAAGTGTTCTCTGGCCATGTACTATAATAATATTATTGTTATTATTATTAATAATAATAACTAGCTCTTAATACTGTTATAATCTCAATGAATGTCTCTAACTTTTTTTTGTGTGTGTGGTCAGTTGTGTGTTTGTGAGTGTACGCAAGTAGTAATTGAAGACACAAGCCTCTCCAATTTCAATACAAATAACATTTACATTCTTTTAAAGAAAAATACCATCACATGCACTAAGCATATCAAACCCTAAGAGGAAAGAAAAAAAAAAAATCCTTCATCTTGAGTTGTTGAAGTTCAGCTGGTTATTACAATCCCACGCTTGCCACACTGCTAGCAGCGTTGTCAACTGTGACCTCAACTTTTAAATTTTAAAAGGAAAAGGAATATTAAAAACAAAAAAAAGTGACTGTAGGAAAAAAAAAATTTAAAAAAAAAAAACAAAAAAAACTTGTAGACCTTTAGTGAGTTTTCCTCTCCCTCTCTTCTCTTTTTCTCTCTATCTCTCTCTCCCCCTATCCTTCCCCATTGACTGGTCATTTGGAGACAGCTCTTAAGCTGAGTGTCTGTCCCAAATATTTAAATGGATCACATACTACCATTCACAGTGCAACAAGAACAACCACCACAAAAGCAAGCCAAGTGGTTGGTCCCGCCGCAGTCGTCGTCGGTTCGGTTGTCTATTGAGCCTCCAAGCTTTCAAAACAGAGCAAAATGTGTCAGGAAGCACTAGTCAATCAGTCAGTCTAAACTTTTTGTGCAACTTCTCAACTTCTGTTGTGTAATTGTTTTGTCCAATAAAGTTGTATATGTCTAATCAGTTGTGCTATTTTTCATACTATCAGATATACATACATACACTAGTTATGTATGCATATATGCATGTGTGTATGTGTTGTGAGTGCACACACACATTAACCACAATTTGTATGTGGTTTTTCGTTTTGATTTTTTTTTTTTTTTTTTTTTTTTTTTTTTCCAGCCTGTTACAAATAACAATGAACATCATATTGTTTTTAATCTGTCACTCTAACAAGAGTAATGTGGGGTAAAAAGAATTTTTGGTGAAGAGATTATCACTTTCACCTGATGCTGCATCATATAAAGGCCACAATACAAGTCCTTCTTCAATTCTAGTAATTTTTAACCTAATTTATGATCAGGAAAGAACCATTTTTATTTTCTTTGCTGATATTCAATTCCACATGCTAAAACATGACTCGGTATCATCATTATTATATGGTGCTTAGTTATCTTAAAACCCAAATCATTGGAAATAGATTTATCTAGCTACAAACACCCCAGCCCCTGCCTGCCCACGATTTTTTTTTTCTTTTTACTTGGAAAAATTAGTTTACTTTTCAAAGAAATCGAAAAGCTGTAATTTTAAATACTATGACCTGAGTCTTTGAACAAACATTGTTTTGTTTTTTTTTTTTTTTTTTTTTTTTTTTTTATAAGGTTGCTTTAAACACTTTAAAGCCTTCTTCATTGACAACTTTTTGAAATCTGTTTCTAAAGTGACCATTCAGTGCACAAATTTCATGCAGCTATAACTTAGCACCAAAAAAATTGATACAAATTCTCTAATGTCCACTTTTTCTTTTATCTTGTCAACTCTGTTATTGTAAGGCTTTGTCCATTGCTTGATTATCTTTGTGGCTTTTTAATTTTTCAGTTTTTAAGGTTGACAACTTTAATCTCTTTGTAGATGGATATTTCTCTCTCTCTCCTGGTATATATTCATAAATCTTATAAACTTGGAATATCTCCAGTTTATTAATCTTTTAAAGAGTTGGAATTGTATGGGGAAAGTCTTATTGCAAATAATTTATCATTTGTCATAAGAGCTATTTTTATGCAGAAGTGCAAACTTAAAAAATCTATACAATATTTTTTCTTTCCATCTATCCTATCTATAATTGTTTGTATGATATTTATCCCAGACCCCAAAAAAGGTGTTTTTAATGTCTGAACTTTGTTCTGCCTATGAATGTGGATGTGTCCTGGTGCATTTCATTTGCTTAATGGATCTTCCTAGATGTGAATTTTCTCGTGCCCATCTTGTACACAACACTCCCCACCTCCTCAATATTGTTGACTGGACATAACTTACCTGTTACCACTTGCCTTGTAAAAGAAAAATGTTTATTTCTATCCATTCCTCTTGAGCTTGTGCTCTAGTTTGTGTATATCTCTTGCCTTTTAGTTTCAGTGGATCAATTTATTTCCCCTGCCAAAGAAAAAAAAAAAAAACACAATTATCTTTATAGCTTGCTGCTCCCAAGATGGACAAGTAATCCCCATGTTCTTTTACTTTCAATATAAAATGGCAAGTTTTTCTTTTTTGCATTCCAGCACAGCAATATTATTTTCCTTCCCCAATTTTCTGGGATAATTATATCGTGTGTTTCCTAGCATATGTGTACATATATGATTATATATGTGTATATACACACACATAACATTGGAACTGGAAGTAGTCTTATTTCTAATGAAAACCTGTATATCTTATGTTTTTAATTTTGATGTTTTGTGTTTGTTTTTTTTTTGTTTTTTTTTTGTTTTTTCCTTAGACATTTTTCAATTAGTAATTTAAGTA